ATTTTATACATAAACATCTCACACACCCCCCAAAAATAATTTTGTATTTAAAAAAATAAAGCAATTTTAAAAAAAGCTTTTTGCATTAAATCAACTTCAAACCATAAAATTAGAGTTAATGTGATTTTGGATTGTTTACCTTTATATATATATAGAGGAGTGAAATATGAATTTGTAGGTTAATGATTTATGGGAAAACTGATAAATGCAGACTTTTGCCCTGTAATTAATAATGGCATGTTAATTTGACAGTCATTTAATAGGTTATGTATTATATAACGGATGTTGTTTCTGACAGCTGTGTTGTGGATATTCTGCTGGAGAATTAATTCTGTAGTTTATCTAATATTATCTCTGCTTACGCAGACGTTATGATATACTGCAGCTAATAAAGTAATCGCAGTCTGGCTTTATTGTTTCACGTTCACACTGAATATCTTCTGAACTCAGGTCTTCACAGTGACTGTTCATTTCAACATCTGCACTAACGACATAAAACCGAAACTGGATGATCTTTGACTCCTAACCTTTAACAGATCATTCCGCTCTCACAGGTTGTGATGCATGTTGATCTGGTGATCCTGCACGTGAGTAATTACTCATCAGAGCAGCTCTTCACGAGAGCAGGCTGAAAGAACGACGCACGTCCTGAACATAATTGGCACATTTCTTTATTTTGAAAACAGACGAAACCATTTTCCACGATTTTACTCAGATTCAAACGCACTTGAACAGAAAGCCTGGCGCTTTTTCTTTTTGTTGGATTTTCTCGATTTTTAACATCAGTGCAGCAATATCTCCAATGAAACGCTCATAACGACACCAAGGACAGTAAAAGAAGCCACATGTATTAGCTGGGTTCTCGTCTCTGGAGGAAGGGTTCTCATGCGATGAGCTCCAGACGGATGGATGCAGAGATCGAGCCGCGCTGGAAAACTCCCTCCACACAGCAGAACAGAGAGGACAAACATAAAGACAGACCGTCTTCTTCATCGAGAGCAGTCTGTCGGTTACTTATGCTTGCACATTTCACTGGTCGATGTTAAACGTGCTCCTCTTTGCCGGCGTCCTCTGCTGGTTTGGAGTCGTCGACAGCCTCTGCAAACACCAGAAGAAACCGCTTCACTTCCAGACACGCTTGCAAACCGTCCGCTACAGAAGCACTGCGGCTCGCACAGTTTTCTGTCAAGCTTCTAGTTTTATATGCATGTGTATATTGTTGCTCACTCAACTACTCTCTTATAACACCCTCGTGACGCATTCGGGTCTGTTTTGAAGCAGAAGAGATGCATACATTTTGTTCCTTTACTAAAAATATGACAAATTTGTATTTTTCTCTTCTGAGTCCAAAATGACCCGAACACAAAACGTTTGACATTTTGTTTAAAATGTGTTCCTTTACTAAAAACTTTGGGTCATTTTGACCCGGGCATGTATGAGGTATCTAAAATACTTCTTGCCAAATTATCCATGAAGTGATATTAGTGTGGGTTGTAAAATATACGTGTCCTTTTCCCCATATCTCACACACTTTTGGTAAATGTTGTTGATAAACGTGAAAATCACTATAAATCTGCTTTTATAGAGGAAAAAAGCTCTTTAGATTTTTGAAAAGACAACTGTTGACTGAACGCTTCTTTGAAGAACCAAGGAACATTACACTTTTAAAAATAAAGTTTCCAAAAGGCAGTTTTCCCATTGATGCCATCGAAGAACCATGTTGGTTCCCAAACCACCTGTGACTGTTCTTTTCCTCAGTGTGAAGAGCATTTTACTAATCTAAAGAACACTTTTTTCCGCTATAAAGAACCTTTTGTGCAATGGAAGGTTTACATGATTGTTAAAGGTTCTTCATGGAACCATCAATGCCCAAAAAATCTGTATTTTTTGTTCACGATTCACAAGTAGTTTGCTCAGAATAGACGTCTACTCGATGGAGAAAGCATGTAGTTAAAAGAAACTAGCAGCAGGGGTTAAACTGATCAAACTAACCAACTGAACCTCCGGTTGATATAGTCTAGTAGGCTTGCTGTTTCAGATGTAGTTTTTTACCCTCCACACTCACACTTGATGATTTCAGAGCTCAAACTCTTTTCTGACGCACCTTTTTTGTCTATTTGGTCTGTTTCCTGGCTCTCGGCGGCGGCAGGCACATCGGCTCGTTTGGCTTCCTCCTCCTCCTGTGCATTTATGTCGTCAGTGGGGTTCTCCGCCTCCTGTAGCTGCTCCTGCGCCTCCTCTTTAGTGGGCGTGTCTGAGGGGGCGGAGTCAGTGGCAGTGGTGGGCGGGGCTTCTGCGGCAGGTGAGTTGGGCTGCTCGGCCGGTTTGCTCTCCTCTGCTGTTTCCATGGAAACCTCGGCAGGTTTCTCCTCCGATGGAGAGACTCGCTCCTCCTTCTCCTCTGCGGACTCGTCCGGAGCGGCGTCGTTCTCCTCGTCCTTCATCTTTTTCCGGGTGATGTGTCCACGGAAGCTGGCCTGGATCTTGGTGGCGGCCTTGTGGCCGTTTTCCTCCGGTTTGGGTCCATCCTGCTTGATCTCCTGATCAGCCTCTTCGTTCTTCTCAACCTGAGACCAGAAACACAAACACCATCAGTAACTCCAACACGCTCACCGGAGACGCTCAAGTCAAGTCACCTTTATTTGTATAGCGCTTTATACAATACT